TGATGAAGTAAAGAACCTTATAATAATGATTATTATACATTGAGCTCGCTATCTCTTTTCTGATGGGCCGAAAGCTTACGGTGAATTTTCGAAATAGCGCCTGCGACGTCATGACTGCAGATTATACAGTAATCATTATGACGGCGGTGCATGATTTCTAAGTTTCGGCTTCGGATGACAACCCCTACCTCGACCTCGATTATTCTGGATATCACAAAAACCTCATCCAATAATTGCTTATAATCCGCTCATTCATCATTGCCGCAATTTTTTTTTCTTTCTGTGTTTCACTCGCCGGTATAGCATCTGGCATAGGGTAGGTCCTCAATATCTAGCAATTCACTTCACAAATAATCAATAAACCACAAAAGCTAAATATTAGTTATTGGCTAACCCTACAAGCCAAAAGAGAATTTTAGTAGATCGGGGTACCTACCCATATTCACCAAATGGCCCATGAAAACCTTGGCGCCATTTTTTTTATTTAAAGCTTGGTGCCTAGTTTTAATTCCTCATCTTTGCAGGAGATTAATTTTCTTTCAACTAATGAATAAGTATTGTCGTCGAAAGAAAACAGAAAATAGTCTCTATCCTGGCCTTTGTTTTCTGTTAAACAAGAAGCAGTGTAGTTGAAGGATGAGCTCCCAAGAAAATAAAGTCACCTAACCTAATGCAATGGTGTTTGAGGAATGAACATACCATGAATGAAAATGAGGGAATTTTTTTAAGGTTTTTGAACCTCAAAAGTATGCAGCACAAGATAGTCTTGCCTTTATTGCTAAATGCTTCTGCGTTTCAAATTTGATTGGTGCTTTTTGATCAAATTAATTAAGGTGTACACGGAATTTTCTTACCTTTTTTGTGTCTTCCTGATTAAAGTCCTGCACGTCATGGCGAAGAAAAAGTGCCCAGCGTCGAAAAAAAAAAAAACAACAAGAAAACTCTTGGGCCACAAGGCTGGGACACGCCCTGTATCGGCTCAGCCAATAAACAGGTGTGAAATTTCCCGCCTTTCTTTTGGCTGTCAATCAAAGTAGTATCATCCAATGAAGTGACCACAAATTACCCGCTTTGTACGCGTAGTTGGCATTGCTCCTCTAGCGATCCTCGAAACGTCAAAACAAGTGAAGATGGAATGGATTCGGACAGCGACGTCAGTGAATTAATAGAAAGTAGTATAGGGCGTCTCCATAGGGAGCAAAGGGATGCCGCCATCAATTAACATAAATAACAAAGGATTCAAGATGGCCTCTAAGTCCCATAGGGAGGATTCAAGATGGCGTCTAAGTCCCTTAGGGAGGATTCAAGATGGCGGCGGAGACGTCATCAGAAAATGACATCATTCAAGATGGCGGCGTAATATATTCATAATATGAGGGTGTAGGTGGGGTAAAAATTGGTTCACGGCCTCCCTTAGGGAAATGTAACGTGTACTTGTATGTTCATGTTACACGTACGACATCATGATGAGATATATATCTATGTCAAGACCTCACTTCCCATCCATGTGGGAGATGTTACAACACGTTACGCATGCGCAGTGTGAGATGTCTGTCAGAGACTTTACGCATGCGCAGTGTAAGATTTTGTCTGAAAAAGATGGCTGTTCGGGGCTGCCTGAAGCTGCCCAAGGCTGCCCTAACCTCTAGGGGATTACATGAAGGCTGCCCAAGGCTGCCCTAACCTCGAGGGGATTAAATGAAGGCTGTCCGAGGCTGCCTTAACCTCTAGAGAACTAAAATGAATTCACAAGATGCGATGTATGTCAGAGTGACCGTGTTGAATGCACATGTCTAAAAGGGGCAAGAAGACACGAAGCCGTCGCGTGTTAAAAGTGTGTCGCCTTAAGCGCAAGATTCGTCAGCAAGCATCGAAACATGCACAAGATGTGGAAAGGTATCAGAGAGAAATTCAGGAGTTGAAATTACGGGAGAGACATCATGACATTATATTCCACGATGCCTTGCGATACATTTACCACCCCTATGGAAATGAACGATGTATTTACTATACTAACTGGGATAAAGAAATAGCAGACGGCTTTTTTTCTGCATTTCATGAGTTAGATTATAGATAAGACAACCCACATGTAAAATCTAATGCAAAGTTTATTATTATACAAATGAAGTACGATAAAAATAAAAAATGTTATCACTGTTTCTGTTGGGAATGGTAGCTAACCATGTACAATTCTCTAGATGTGGTGGTACCTCTTGAAAGGGTACAAAATTGAAACAGATAATGTTCATGACATTATAAACGTAATTAACATTCATAAAAAAGTCAAATTGGTTTAAAAGGACCAAAATTTCATCCTCAGGATCTTGATTATCTAAAAGGTACATAGCGTAAATAAAAGTTGTAGTAATCCATAAAGGGATACTCATTCTGAAAAAGTTGAAAAAAAAAATCTAGCGTTACAAAAAAGGATGATTGAGGAATACAATCAAGAAAAAAATGTATGACATTATGAGTATCTCTGTGGTAATTGGTAGTTAACCATATATAATCCTCTAATATAGGTGGCGCTACATCTTCATCATACTCGACGAAACCAAAACTTATTAAGGGTATAATATTATAAATATGGGTGACAATCATAAAAAACCTAAACTGATTAAAAAGGACACAAATTTCATCTTGGATATCATGCCACCATAATAATGAGTTTAATGTTTCAAAAAAATCCACAATGTCTTCCAATGGAAATTCAGTCTAAAAATAAATTGTATAAAAATTAATTTAATGGTTCAATTTAAGAAAGGGAAACACCAAATAAATGTATGGGAAAAACTGGCCAAAAAAGTAAGTTCGAAGGTGGTAGCTATAAAACAGAAAATAAACCAACTTGCATGAATAAATTGCTATGACAGTACACTCGGTCTAAGCGTCTTGTTTCCAAGATACCTGCATGTATTCCTAATCTATGTCTAATGATCGTGTTTTCTAAGACAACATCAAAAAGAAATTGATAAAAAAAAAAGTGCGAGGAGATAGATGATGGGCTTGAAAAAAAAACTCATGTGAAATTCCTACACAAAAGATACTTTAATTACATAATATTCCATTCTACGTCTTCTAATGAGTAAAAGCTTGACAAAGACCTAAGACCGAATTTTGAAAATAACCTCTATCTGTCACATAGAGTGCACATAAAGTAGACATGTAATCATGGGAACCGATCTGAAACACAAAAAAGATCCCTAATTAAAAAAATCTAAGTATAAAAAACACACGTACACATTCTAAAATCCCAATGTAAATCAGATTGTTGTCTTCGAATAAACTTTTCTCCAAAAATTACCTAACACGTTCACGAAACATACAATGCGAGTAACGAGGTATGACACGAGTTGAAACTACAGGGTAACGCATTTGAATCCTAAAAAATTGATGAAGTACTCTTCGAATAGGACGAAAAAACGATACTAAAAATTCAGCAAAAGGAAAGTGACGACTCAAAAACAAACGTCGTATAGGATCAGTAACAACTTCATCGATATAGAGATGAAACCAATAGTTAAATCTTGGATGTTTATAAATTTCAATACGAATAAGATCGTGTTCACTGTCTAGTCTTGTAAGAACATCTTTCATATCACCAATAAGTTGTAGTAAATAACTAGTAGTTAAGTGATAAAATCTTATACACAGACTGAAGACTTAAAAGTTGCAAGAGGAAAGTGACAAGAATACTAAAGACTGAGTGAAGATGGCGCAACAAGAAAAGAAAACGTTGGAGGTCAGTATGATAGTGTTAAAACAAGACTGTCGCGGCAGGCAAGCAGCATTTTTTAATACGTTACAAATGTTTTACATTTTTAGAACCCTACCGCCTATATCTGTCCCGAGTGCCGAGACGACATGATCGACTATGAGAACATTCTCGAAGCGCTGACCAAACAGAAAATACATCGCACTCAAGTTTTTTTGCAGCTCTTAAAACTGGTTAAAAAAGAAAACTTAAAAACCGCGACGGAATTAGTGAAGGAGTACATGAAAAACCCTGAGGATTTTTAACCGTGTAAAAGTACAAACTCATGTAAATAAAATGCGAGTGAAACTTATATTTGTGTCATGTCTTGTTAATTGTAGATTTATTTGATGATGGCAAAAAGAAAGAATGATGATGTGGAGGAAGAGGATAGTGTCTCAGATTACCTATTAAATCAACATTATGATGAACTTGAAAAACAACAGTATGGTGGGGAAATATCTGACGATCAACTCAATGAATTGTATGATCAATTGGACCAACAACAATTGGATGCCCTCAATATAGGCTTGGGTGTGGAACAATCAGGTGGCGCTCTCTTTAACTTTGAATTTCAAAATGCTGGATTCCCAAAAAATTGGAAAAAGACAGCGGATAAACAAAGATATGAGGCCACCCTCAAGCAGACACGAACTCCATCCCAAGACGACAATATCGGAAAAGAAATTACAAATGCGTTAGCGAGGTAAGAGTTTAAAAAGTGTGTTGAAAAAAAGTTTCAGGGGATACACTCTTATCGAAATTTATTTTGGGTTATTTTTTTAGATCGATACGGAAACAAATTCAGCAAAAGAAATGTTCATCTCATGACGCGTTCCATTTCACATTACAATCGAATCAATTCGCCCACGCCCAACAATCAGCCACATTCAAAGTAGAAGAAATCATGAAGAATTCAGAACGCTTTGAAAATTACATGACTACTATGGCTAATAAATTGAATTCAGGAGAATCGTTTAAATCCTCTTCTAAGTTTACCGCCGACCTTACCTTTATTCGAATGCCTAAAGGTGGTAAAAGTGGTAGACAAAAAGCTCTATTGGGAAAGCGATCCATGGCAGAAGTTTTGAAAAAGAAACATTCCGTGATTCAAATTACAAATTCAGACGAATTGTGTTGTGTAAGAGCCATTTGTGTCGCAAAAGCATGGATCCATAAAGATGAGGGGGATTGACATAAAATCGATTACGAGAATGCAAGAAAATGTGAGACTGTTCGATCACGAATGGCCTATCAACTCCATGAAGATGCGGGCGTACCTTTGGGGGCATGCGGGCACCAAGAATTGAAAAAATTTCAAGACTTCCTAGCACCAGACTACCAATTATTGGTAGTCTGGTGCTAGGAAGTCTTGAAATTTTTTCAATTATTGAAAGTCATGGCAACTTCCTACCCCTACATGATGGTATTTGTAGGCCCAGAAGCACCGCATATTATCCGCCTCTTGCTCCAGAAACACGATGACTCTGAGACTGGTCACTATGACACTTGCACATCTTACGCTGGTTTTCTAGAACGATCCTATTTTTGCGATCAGTGCAACAAGGGATTTGATCATAATGACTTCAGACATCATCCATGTGAGGGTCGAAGATGTCATGCATGCAAACAAGTAGAATGTGGCGCAAAACCTGATTATGCCTTGTGTGAAGTACCCTGTTCTTCTTGTTGCCGAAAGTTTTACAGTCAGACGTGTTATGACATGCATAAAGAGAAAAAGATCTGCGACAGCCTTGTTCAATGCCCTATGTGTCGTAAGGAGTTTCAAACCTCAGCGTCAAAAGAACCTCACCAATGCTACTTTGACAAATGCTCCGTATGCCATGAATATGTAAAACTTACAGAACACAAATGCTTTATTCAACCTGTGGCAGCCAAAGAAGATCAAAGAAAGAAAAAAACCAAAGCAACCCTGAAACGCCATAGAAAAAAAAATCCCTTGGCCTCGGGGTATGAAGAACCTCCCATCTTCGTCTATGCTGATTTTGAATCTATGATAGCGGAAGATAACACACACATCCCCGTATTGGTCTGCGCCCTCACCTCTGAAGATGATACCTTCGAAACCTACTATGGGGAGAATTGCACGGCCGACTTTCTGAACTTTCTCACCCAGCTCACCGAGGACAAATATGGCGACCCACGCGAGGTGATATGCATTTTCCATAATTTAAAGGGGTACGATTCTATGTTTCTACAGCATCAGTTGGTAAAGGAAGAAAGAAAGATCAAGGACATCATCGCCATAGGCACTAAATTGTTATCCTTCAAAGTGGGTCAAATCACATTCAAAGATTCGTTCAGCTTCCTCCCGATGTCACTCTCAGCCTTTACCAGTACCTTTGGTCTCACGGAACTCAAGAAAGGTTTCTTTCCTCACCTGTTCCACACACCTGACCATCAAGATTATGTGGGAGCCCTGCCAGCAGCCTCCTGTTACGACCCAGAAAGTATGTCCAATTCTAAAAAAAAAAAGAATTTCAAGTCTGGTATGAAGAACAAGTGAAAAAGCAACACCCATTTGATCTCAAGCAAGAACTCATAGCCTACTGCCAATCAGATGTCGCCCTTCTTAAAGCCGGCTGTCTTAAATTTGTGAATGAATTCCAGTCCACTTCTGGGTTTGATCCGATGGAAAAATGTGCCACGATTGCGTCAGCATGCAACAGATATTGGCGTAAAAAACATCTTTCCAAGGATACTGTGGCCGTTGAACCTGTAAGAGGATGGCGTGGGGCAGGAACATCAGCTTGAATCAGACAGCCCACGTATCCAACATGTTCGTAATGGTGGGGAGAAGTTGATACCCGCAGGGCCCGAGGCATACCATGTCGATGGTTTTGATAGCCACACAAACACTGTGTATGAATTTCATGGCTGTTTGTTTCACGGGTGCAGACGTTGTCATAAAGACCGCAAGAAAATGGCGTTTTCATCAGGCAGCTACACGATGGAAGCTTTGTGTCAGCAGACGGAAGGCAAATGTCAGACACTCCGACAGATGGGATATAAAGTGGTTCAAATCTGGGAATGTCAATGGAAGGAGCAGAAAAAAGGCCTCAAAAGGAAATTCAAGATTTTCTCAAGGAAATCAATCTTGTACCACAGCTCAATCCGAGAGATGCGTTCTTTGGAGGTCGAACTGGGGCGGCGTCGCTTTATTACAAGGCCAACACAGATGAAGGCGAGCAAATCAGATACGTCGACGTCACCTCAGAATATCCCTATGTAAACAAATACGGCACCTACCCCATAGGTCACCTCGAAATATTTTTGGAACCAGACGACCAAGATCCAGCCTCCTACTTCGGTATATTGACAGTGGACATTTTACCGCCTTATAATTTATACAATCCCGTATTGCCTCTTCGACATGGAAAAAACTGACGTTTCCATTATGTCGAAAATGTGTGGAAGATGAAAGTGCCAAACCGATGTTGGGAAGAAATTATTATTGTAGTCATGGTGTGGAGGATCGCATGCTCACCGGTACTTGGTGTACACCCGAAATCATGAAAGCTGTCGAAAAAGGGTATCAGGTTCTTCGCATACACGAAGCATGGCATTTCCCACCAGACCAAAGAAAGCAAGGTCTGTTTGCCCCGTACGTAGACACCTGGTTGAAGATAAAACAAGAAAGTAGTGGTTACCCCAGCTGGGCACAAACGGACGCTAAAAAAAAGAAGATTATGTTAAAATTACAAGGCAAGAGAAGGGATAGACCTAGACCCCCAGCACATCAAGAAAAATCCAGGAAGAAAGGCCACTGCCAAACTGATGCTGAACTCCTTTTTGGGGAAAGTTTGGCGAACAAATGAACAAGATGAAAACGAAGCAAATCACAGAACCACACGAGCTGATTGATCATTTAAATGACACAACGATTGAAATATCAGACGTACGCATTTTGAGTGCTGATGTGATTGAATTGGCGTATAAGAAGATAGAAGAGGATGCAGTAAAGGGGTCCAAGACCAACATATTCATAGCAGCATTTACCACCTGTCAGGCCCGTCTTAAGCTTTATGAATCTTTGGAGGCGTTGGGCGATCGAGTCTTGTATTATGATACAGACTCGGTCATTTACACGTGGAAGCCAGGTCAAACAGAAATTCCCTTAGGTGATTACCTTGGCGATATGACCAATGAATTGGATGAAGGGGATTACATCGTGGAATTTGTGTCAGGGGGTGCCAAGAACTATGGGTATGCGACGAAACATGGGAAAATCGTGTGTAAAGTTCGTGGCTTTTCCCTAAACGTGCGTGGTGCCAAACAGTTTAATTATCAGGTCATGAGGCAAAATATTTAGGATGAAATTTTAGACCCGCAGGACGAAAGAAGAGACACTGACATTGTGAACCCGAGACATTTTAGGCGTGATCCAATTGCCAAGAAGATTAAGACAGAAACACAAGTCAAAAAATATGGTTTGGTATTCGACAAGCGGGTACTTCACGTAGGAACATTTAAATCGTATCCCTACGGATACGCCCAGTTTACAGGATTCGATGCACAAGACATTTTAAACATTGAAACACTTATATGAGAGACATTCAAGCCAAGATACGTTAGCGTTTTTTTCCCTTTTTATTATTTTACAATGCCAAGAAGATTAAGACAGAAACACAAGTCAAAAAATTTGTTTTGGTATTCGACAAGCGGGTACTTCACGTAGGAACATTTAAATCGTATCCCTACGGATATGCCCAGTTTACAGGATTCGATGCACAAGACATTTTAAACATTGAAACACTTATATGAGAGACATTCAAGCCAAGATACGTTAGCGTTTTTTTCCCTTTTTATTATTTTTAAATGAAACAGTTTAAATTGTTACAAGTTAAATCACGTGTCTTTGTCATCCTTACACGCGTTTCATTCCCTCTGTGATATTATCCATCCATTTTCTAAGAAAGGCTGTTCTTTGATCTACCCTGCGAATCATTTCTTGTAGTTCCTTTTCAATATTGTCTTGCCACTCGTGACGTGAAGGACATTTGCAAGTAAGTGGATGGAATGGACATTTTCCTCCTCTGTCCTTTTCCTGGGCGGCGGCATCCATGCGTTAACGTACGCGTCTAAAATGAAGTGTGACGATAGAAGTGCCGTCTGTAAACTGAGCCAAATTATTATTTTCCGACTCACTTATCTGTGTTTCCACCACATCGATGTGATTCTTACGTAACTTGATGTAATGAATCTGCTTGGGTTCGTAATAATAATTTCCTTCCAAGATTGGTTGGTAGTGTATTTGACGTATAAGATCAGTCGTCTGATCTCCCACGCGTACTGGAGCACAAAGCGAGGAATACATATACAAGGTTCGTGGGTAAGGTAAATTTAAGTAGGTACTTCTCTTTAGTATTGATAAAGGTCCAGTTCAGATCGCTAAGAAGAAATCTATGATATTTCTCCGCAAATCGGTCTTTCCATGGGATCTCATATCTGTAATACGTCAAACTGGATGTAGTAAGCCTCCTATCATAACTCCACACCGTACCACGTTTGGTCACTGTGAGATTATGCGCCGGTCGTGATACATTACGATTCTCTTCAATAGGACCACTAACAATACGACGATAACGCACTGTTGTTTTTTTCGTCCAACCAAACAACTCACACATGTCTCGAGGTAACTCAAAATAGAGACCGTCACGAACTTCTTGATGAGTTATATCAGTCGATTTTACCTTGTCTGCTGTCACAGTAATCGTTTCTTTATCCTCGTCCGCAATCACTTCAAATTGTGCGCTGTGTCCTGAAGAAAAATGACTCCCCAACGCCGAGCCCATATTCATAATACATTTTAAACGTTCTTCATCAAACAAGGATTTGAGTAAATCGTGAACTGTCTCGATACGATGTTGTTTGATGTCTCCATACGTGACATTGTAAGTCACTTTATGTTGTATATCCCCAGTGGCTACTTTAATTCGTCCTGTGGTTAGTAAGACATCATTGTCTTTTAATCCTTTGAGGTAACTGGACACCTTAGAATCGTGTGGAAGCGAAATACTACTCAATCCCACTTCCCCTCTCCTTCTAAATCGATGCGTTTGTCTAATCGATTTTTCCAAGAATTGTTTTTGTTGTCTGGAAAATATTTCAGACTCCCATCGTTACTGGGTAACGTCAAGTAAAAAGTATTACCTGACATGATGTGCTCTCGATAACGACACAACTACGAATGAACCGGAGACACACACTGTGTTGCATTTTCACAAGTTTTATTTCATCATTGTAGAGGCGTTACAATTTTGTTTTAAGTTTAGCTTGCATGATTCGCTTCACAATTTGCTCGGTTAAACTCTTCTTGCCTGGAAACTTATCGATTCTGGCTACCATCTTACGATCTGCAATATGTTTGTCAGCGAGTGATTTAGCTTTACTGTAATCAATATCGTGCTGTTTGGCTAATCTATCAAGACGATTAATTCCTGGATCACCACGGTTTAATCGCTTGGCTAATTTTGTACCTGGACCCATATACTGGTATCCGGGCCAATGAAACTCGACACCTAACTTTGAAATCCATTTCTGAATATCAAATTTTCCTCCTCTCTGTCGTTTCCTTTTAGCCTTAGCTTGGACGGTTCTTGCCCCTCCCTTTGCCTTTCTTCGACTTTGGCGTTTCGTCATCTTCAAACACTTGATACGGGTTGTAACCTCTCTTTTCCCAAGGTTCCCAGTTACCAAATTCTTTGAGTCGTTCCAACTCCGTGCGATGCTTTTGCGGTGTGGGAACAGGAAGTTTTCGTTTCGTTTTTTGTATCTTTTGGGATGGAGCTGTGAGAAAAGGAATCTTGGACGTTCCCGGTTTCGCAGGGGTGACGGGTTCGTTCTTGATCCCCACAGGTGTGACAGGTTCCCTCTTGAGTGTCATCTGAGGTACGGCGGCTTGTCCCCTCATATTTATGGATTTAATGAGTTCTTTTAACAATCCCTCTTGCAACCCCTCCATGAGATTACCATCATCGTCTCGAGGTGGAGGTTCTACACCACCGGCGATAGGAATCTGTCTCAATTTGTCAGTAAGCTTGCGTTCTTGCATCAACAATTCTTTTACCACAGGTTCTTTTAAAGCAGCAGGAGTAGATGTATCTTCTAATAACAGTTTTGCTTCGGCGGCCACGCGTGCGGCTTTGTCTAGAAGAGTACTTTCAGTAATTTTTCCCTTGTAATAATCTACCAAAGCTCGAAACTCATCGGGTTTCACCATTAAGAACGTCTCCATAATCGCCACAAGGGTTCCACCACACGCATACGCAACCAGCGAAACAGTTGAGTTATTGTGAGTCTACACTCGGTTGAATCCTTATAGTCACTGTCGTCGTCGTCGTAGTTGAATTGCAAATCAAACTTTATACCCGTGTCCACTTCGTTTATACCCTCTTGCACGGTGACAGTCATGATCTCTTGAAACACTGACAGAACGCGTCGTTCATACCACTCCAAAAGCTACCAACTGTTTGATTCACAAGTAATTGACGCCGCTTTCTTAAAGAGTTCCTCCGTTTACCCAACTCTCTCAACATCACTCTATATTTCTTGAGTTTGGCAACGGTGGGCGGTGATAAAGGTATCTTTTTCTTCAACATGTTCAACGTGAATTCACTGACGGCATTGATTTGATCTTTACTAGCGTGAAGTAATTTTTCCATACGACGCTTTCTATTTTTCTCTTGTAAAATAGATTTTAAAAAATCCACATTTCTCTTGAAACTATTAATCATCGCTTTTTCTTTGTAAGAGCTTCTAGGCCTTTTTTAGCCCCAAACGATGCAGTTCCTCCAAGGGTACTTAAACCCAATGCTTTACCTCCAGCAATGAGGGCTGGAATGAGTGCCGCTAATGGTAGGATACCTCCTTTTTGTCCTCTTTTGGTTAGTCTTCTTTTCACTCTTCTCCTTCGGGTTGTGGGCATACTGCGCTTATAACCAGGCATCTTTCTTATTTATTTCTCTCTGTAACAGCGTACACACCCTTCGTGTCGTAACAAGTGACTTAAAAGTCTCGTAGAATCTCTACTTGCAGGGTGTACGTCAAATAACAAATAACCATAGGGTCTGTCCGTACATGCATTATATATATCCATGACAAGTAGCCACTTGGTCGGGTATATCTGTAGCAGTAAGGTGCGCAACGCCACTTTATCTCTAGGATTTTTAAAGGCAATAATGTATTGCGCATTCCAAGAGATAGTCTTGGCATATTTTCCTTGAGGGAACATGTCTTGGCAGAGATAACACACGGTGACATTCATGTGGTGAGAATATTGTGTGAAAAGATGAAGTATTTCTCTGTCATCTCCTCCCTCAGACATGAGATCATCCAAGACAAGAATACCCCCTCGTTTATCTCCAAACCATGTTGTTAAATCGTCGTGGGTAGGCACTCCTTTAAAAAATTCTATGCCATGGCGTTGCATGTTGTCAAACTTATTTTGCCAGGATCCATAACAGTAATGCACGCGGGGCGGTCTTTCGTCAAAGAGGTCTAAATTTTCCAAAAGTAGGTGATGGAGAAAGGTGGTTTTTCCACAACTTGTAGGGCCCACAATCAAAATATTGGAAGGGGATTTGAACGAAAATCCTGGTTCCACACACTTGAACATGATTGCTAAAAGCGAGTTACACAAAAATGACACGATTTTATTTCATTCCTTTTATTTTATTAACGATTGAATGATATCTTCTAACATGTCGCCTACTTTATCATTGTTGCCTACATAATCCTTTTTAGAAAACATGGAAAAAAACTCATCCATACTCTTGCATCTTGCTTTACACATTAAATAAATGATGGCATAGTTTCCACAACTTGCGGTTTTTACAGATTGTAATGCTCGAGTATTTTTACGCACGTAAGGCCATCGGTTTAACCATGCAATGAATGGTGTCAGAAATTCATAGGTGGTTAAATCTAAACCATAACTATCTAAAATTTCACAGCTATCGTGTTCGGTCCACACAGCTATCCAGTGTTCCCCAGGTTTGTCTGCAGGGTGGGTATTGACAATGTAAGCTCTCGGTTTCACACGTTCAGGCGACTCGGGTAGTTCGTCACAGGCTAAAAGCACTCACAAAGTACTTGCGGAGTTCTGGATCGCTATCCGCTAAAGCGTTGAGTTGATTCGTAGTAAGCCACACAAACTCCATCACTAATGCACTTCCATCGTGGTAGCTCCTTTAATGCCATCAATTTCCATAATGCTTTCATATTCAGCATAAACGATCACCGTTTTCTGACTTGCTTGCCCTGCACATTTAATGTGAATGTTGATGAAGCCTTCATTTTTAGGTAGAAGAACCGGGTCATCGTGTCTTCCATTGGCCACATTGGAAAACGCAAACAGCGTGCAATTTTTTCCATGACCCCAGTCTTTGAATCGCACCATGTTTCCTGCATTTCTGTACAGACAGCCAGTAGCATCCAGAAATCGGTGATAACCCACCAAGTCTTTTTGACCATTAGCCGTGTTGAGTTCCAAAGTCTCGTATGGGTATTCTTCTCCATTCACAATTTGTTTGATGTATTCCACCCCAAATTTTCCAAAGGCCAAGGGGTCTTCGTTATATTGACCATTGAATGCAGTAGTTTTCAGAATACCAATGATGACTCTTTTTGGCACCTTTCCATTGAATGGGTTGTTGATTTCTAAGGGAAACTGTCTCATCTCGGTACGGATCATGGGATACTTGGTTGGGGTTTTGGTCATCATACTCATCATGCTCATGTAGACGGCTGGGTTTAGGGACACCAGACATAGAAAGAAGGTAAGTTTAATATCCTCTGGGTTGACTCGGATTTCCTCACTGGGTGGATTGGCTTCTCCATTCATGAATAAAGCTGCTGGATTCAGATAAAATTCCAATTCCAAAAGAGTTTTGGGGACGATCCATTTTCCTTGGTGAAACGCGTCTATAAACGGTTTCATTCTCAAGATTCTCCTCTTTCCTCCTGCATAGTATTCTGTTGCATCTGCTCTCTGTCTCTTGATGCTTTCTTGATGATTTATGGAAAGAGCTGTATACGCGTCATCATCCATCTTGACATTTGCAGCGGTGTAGGTTACAGGAGAATCAATTTCGTTCCGCCATCCAGCTGGTTCGAGTATCGTCTCTCCATCATTCCTGTCATAATTAAGGATCGTCTGTATGAAAGCTTTAAGATGGTACATGTCTACTTGTTCAGTGAGTAAGGTACCATTGGCTCTGAAATTGATTTGCTTGAAGAGGGTGTGTGCAATATTGTTGGCTGGTGAAGTCATCACACCCACATTGTTTGCGCATGCTGTGAGACTGGCATTTTCTGTGGTTTTGAAACCCAAATCCAGTTGGACAAAACTTCTCGAAAGATCGGTGAGATCTGATTGTCGTTCCACGTGCACTTGGATAGGAGTAATACTAGATGTCTGAGGTGGTATTTTGACATATCGGTACTTTACCGTAGAAAGATCTGTAGGTGGTATTCTAAAGAGATCTAGACTTGAATTCTGCTCTGCCCCTTTGATAGACATGGTGATGTGTCTGTTTCAACGTCTTCTGCGTTTATGTACACGTTGTCGTGTTCCTATTTTCTTTATACGACTTGTGAGAAATCCTCCTCGTTGCTGTTGTTTTCTTCTTCTTCCTTTATACCTTTTTAAGATGGAAGACACAGGATCTGTCAGTGATGTTGTGCCTACACCAATGATAGGATCACTTTGACGTACGGTGCTGATGCGGACCATGTTTTATTCTCCAAAAATATCGTTCAACCTCTTGGCAACTTTTCTTTTCAATTCGTTCTTGAGCGCTTGGGAAGCCCCTCTCTTTATACCTCGCGGCACTTCTGATAACGAACGCTTTTTGACACTGCTTTTAAGGCCTCCTGTTACACCTTTCAAAAAATCTTTAGCCATGTCTTTGACTCCGGCACCTATTTGAGGATCACCCCAGGATCCGATAAAAGGTGGTGGGGCATAAGGTGAGGGGGTCTGCCAGCGCATGAGACCACCTCCTCCTTGTTCATTTGGCACATACACTTTAAAGCGTCTCAAACTTCCTCCTCTCATGATGCGATCACCACAAACACACAATTCACTTTAAATCTTTTTTATTAATCCAACTGTTATATTTGCTAGGGTACCCTTTCCACTTGACAAACAATTTATCCTTTTGTCTCTTTAATACTTTTTCCACTCGAAAATAAGTCGCTTCATCTACATGTACTTTTTGCAAATCCCTCACATAAAATGTGCCTTGTAAGGGCGTGTCATCCAATTCTTGCACTTTATAGGTCGTTACCATTCCGGGTACGACTTTACGAACTTGAAACACTTCTTCCGTCCATCCTGGTAGATACCCTTTCTTAAACGGTCTAAATTTTTTTATTCAATCGGACTTTATCGCCTACTTTAAATGCAGGCTTTTTTTTTTTCTTTCTTAGTCTGATATTTCCCATACAAATTGTTCCACACTTCTTTGGCATTGAATGTGGTGACTTTAGCTGGTGTTGTTTTAATACTCCTGTGATAGGTGCGATTGTATTGATTGACAAGTTTGGGCAATATGTCTACATATTTGAGTGTGTTGGCAGCCGTGAAATAGCGATACAATTTCGATTTAAGGGTTCTATTAAATCGTTCGACGATACTGGCTTTGGCATCTCCATGAGTAGAAAAGTGATGAATCTCCTGTGTTTTCATCAATGATTTAAAGGTCTGATTGTAAAATTCTTTGCCTGCATCTGTCTGTAACGTCTGAGGTTTCCTTCCTTTGGCTTCCTTGAGTATTTTTGCAAACGCATCCGTCACATCTTTTCCTGTTTTCATTTTAATCGGTGCGGGCCCACGCGTATTTGGAAAAGGCATCGATCACGACCAATACGTATCGGTATCCCTTGTTCTGTTTGGATAGGGTCTGTACTTCGATCAAATCTGCTACCCATTGTTGATCAATGTCGAACACCACCACAGGTAAAAATTCTCCTCGTCGACGTCTGGGTTTGTGAAGCGTGTACGCCAATTTTTTCTCTAATTCTTTTTTACCTTGAGCAATAGAGATCTTTTGAGCTTTGGCATACGGTGCCACACCACCCAAACTACTGACGATACCGGGTTCGTCATACAAGTCGTCCTTGACATCTTTCTTAATGTTCTCAACCATGATAAATGACACCAAAGTTTGAAAGAATGGTAGGTGACCCAATACTTATGAAGGTACTGCGTATACAAATGATTCCACGTCTTATATGTATACTTCCCATCATAGTATCTCATAAACGTCATCAAATGAAAGATACGGTCGTGTAGTGGATGTAGGTGTGGTTTCACGACAAACTTAAACACCTCAACTTCCATGTCTTCGGGAACCCATTGGTAAGGGATTTTATGCGGCTCATCCTCTTCGAAGACGATATGAGGGATGCGATCACAAAGCCACGACACCACTCGATAATGCAAGTAGCATAGCCATTGACTCCACGAGGTAAGCATGATGAACTCGTGATTTTTTTTCATCGCCGACCCTTTTTATAATGCTTGACATTATCCATAATGCCTTTTAAAGCCTGTTTTCCCAGAAGTTTACCAAGTGTTCCAAAACCTGGTGCAGGACCCGATAACAACATACTTGCTGCGTAAGCTAATTTATCGGTAAGAGAGGGACCTCTACGAAGAATTTTCTTAACCCTACTCACAGAAGCACCCCCACGTTGATTGCGTTTTCTTCTTTTAATCAGTGACCGTCTTCCACGCCTCATGATTGACACAGACAAATGACACAGTGTTTTTGGTGATACAACTTTTATTTATTTATCCATATTATCTTCTAAAAACTGTACATCACAAGCAATACATTCTAAGTCTTTATCCGACAATCCTAAGCGTCTAGCTAATTTCCTAAACTTAGGCATACTGATCAACCAAGCGATTTCAACATGATCGTCCGTAGACAATGTATCTAGCTTTGTGTTTCTACCCATCAACCGTGCGATTTCAAGATGGTCTGTACTTATCCCATCTACAAAAAATTAACAAAACTTGGAATTACAATGAAAAAACATGTGTATTTTTACATCTGGTGAAAGAAAAGTTTGAATGTACACTATGCCTAAAAAATTAATACATTTGACTCTCATTACTTTCTTTAAAGTAAAGGAAAAAGGGCTTCTAATAAATCAGCAAATGTCATCTTGACATCTAGTCCTGAAATGAATCATTCACATCCATCCGTAAGAATTTGCACTGACCTCTTGTTGGGTTTAAATCGCCACCAGGTAAAAAGATCACAGTTATGTCGACTACATCGCAAATACATTTTGCCATAATTTGTTTCTGAATGAGTCAAAGACAATGTAGGAGTCATTCCACATTCGCACACCATCTTGTCGATTCTGTCCAGGGTGAACCAGGGGTGACCCTGTCTTTGACATTCATAGTAATAACGGTTGTAATCACTGAGATTACAAAATACTGGGCAACGGGCGGACGAGCAACGTAGGAATACATCGTCACAATCTTCTTTTTTAGATTTCAATACGTCCATCATGCTCTGGTGGATCGGACATGGATAACTGACTTCCACACTGTCCAGTAACTCATCCAAGGAGGAATACTGATACGTACCTGTACCAGAATCCTGTGGAATCTCGCCTTCTTCTAGCACTTCTACCTCGGTCTTCTCTGTCGTCGATTCGGTCTTGATAGTTTCTACCAGTTTGTTCAACTCTTTCAATGGCGGCTTTGACTTGGCAGGCTTTGATTTGGGAGGAATACGGTGTTCTGGTTTCATATAATCCACAGCTATTCGTGGCTCATTCACATCAAACTTGGGTGGTTCTCCTCCAAAATTGTCATGCATCAGTGTATCAGGAACGTTATCTTTACCTCGGAAATCAGGATCAAACATAGGCAGCGCATCAATGAAAATAGTACCCTTCAACTTATTCTTGGCTTCTGTTTTCTTCTTGTTTTCTTTTTTGACATAAGGATGATTCTTCTTGGTATTTGACGACATCTTGTTCCTTGCTTGCTTGCTTGCTTGCTTGCTTGCTTGCTTGCTTGCTTGCTCACCACTCTACGAGAAAGAATAGTGAGTTCCTTAAAAATCTGCTCTACTTTTATACATCTTAGATCTCTTGTTTTTGAATTCTACCTACTCATTGGTTACAAACTGTAGAACTTTGATCCTGCATGATTTAGCAAAATCTTCTCATTGGCTACAACCTGTAAATATTTTTTTTTAGTTCTCTAGAGATTAAGGCAGCCTCGGACAGCCTTCATTTAATCCCCTCGAGGTTAGGGCAGCCTTGGGCAGCCTTCATGTAATCCCCTAGAGGTTAGGGCAGCCTTGGGCAGCTTCAGGCAGCCCCGAACAGCCATCTTTTTCAGACAAAATCTTACACTGCGCATGCGTAAAGTCTCTGACAGACATCTCACACCGCGCATGCGTAACGTGTTGTAACATCTCCCACATGGATGGGAAGTGAGGTCTTGACATATATATATATCTCATCATGATGTCACATGTGTAACATGAACATACAAGTACACGTTACATTTCCCTAAGGGAGGCCGTAAACCAATTTTTACCCCACCTACACCCTCATATTATTACACCGCCATCTTGAATGATGTCATTTACTGATGACGTCTCCGCGCCATCTTGAATCCTCCCTAAGGGACTTAGACGCCATCTTGAATCCTCCCTATGGGACTTAGAGGCCATCTTGAATCCTTAGTTATTTATGTTAATTGATGGCGGCATCCCTTTGCTCCCTATGGAGACGCCCTATACTACTATAGAACATCAAGAATCTTGTAGCAATGGAATCAAGTGACAGATTTCGAACAGCAGCGACACTACCGATGCTGATGGGTGTCAGAGAAAAACGAGACAACCAAAACTGAGGCGAAGACTGACACGACAAGTGCGTCTTCCTTCATGTAAACATTGCTACGAAGAGGACACCTCGGATGATGACGGGCTCTTTGATTCAATTAAAACAGTTTCAGATCGCAGCAAAATAGTTTCAGCAGCAAAAGATGCGTTTGCATCTTCAAATGAAAGCGAAAGTGGTTTCACAGATCTTCCACGTCCGTATGTGCCGTATATAAACGAAGCGACCAACGATTGGCGATCTCCTTCATCTCAAGATACAGAAAACGAGCAGTTGTCCACTTTTTCGGTTGATAGTGATTGTAGTGGTATACAGAGATCAATGCTGCGGTTGTGAATGAAGAAACAGAAGATCAAACTCGTGCATATCTGTTGTCCAACTCTAGCGGTTCAAACGGTGAAGAACTCGATTCATGCAACGATTCGAGTCGAAACGATAGCAGTTCAGATGATAGTGACAAGGATCCTTTCATTTCGGACGATGGAAGTGATTGCGCAAACGTATTTATGAAGAGCATTTACAAAGGATCTAATTTGTATGTAGGTGCAAGTTGTATTTTATTACGCAGTTTAGTCGCAAGTACAAGCTTCCCCGTAAAGCTCAGAATGATCTACTCACTTTACTTAAGTTACATTGTCCTGAGGGGGTTGAAATTACTTTACCCCAAACTTCCAAGGAACTGTTAAAAAAGTCTATGCCATCACTAGCCAAAATTGCGAAAGAACGGGTTTGTTCGATTTGCACGAAAAAAATAGGAGATGCCACGGAGTGTGAAGATGGACATCCCGTGGGAAGACCAACTAAGGAGGATTCATACTCCCTGGAGCCACAGCTGAAAATGATTATTGAAGGTAAACTTTTAATCATTATGTTATATGAGGTAGATAGAACTTAACATTACCAGAAAGTAATCAATTCCTGCGCCTATGAATTTTTGACCTGTCAATGGCTCGCGGCAGGCATGACAACACAGTTTGAATGTGAGGCTCGATCACGATTTAATATACAGCGGAGCCCCTCTATTTTGTATTCATAGAAGAGAACACTGATTTTTCAGTATAACCAAAAACCGATGTGGAAAGGTCAGTTTCAGCGTAACAAACTCAACTGCGGGGCCAATCCAAACATTATTGACCAATGCACAACATTGGAGTCTGGCTTTGATCGTTCATAAGCCAATCCAAAAAGAGAATTATCTCTACAATTCAAAGTGTTGGCAGGTCCGGCTGAGTTCATTGCACTTTAAAAAGATAATCGGTGGCTGTTTGAGAGAGTGGACGCTGTAAGCAAACAAAGCATGCAAGCCATGGGTGTGAGCCATACCAAAGTTCTTACCATGCTACAGAAATACAGCCAATCAGATTGCAGGAAAGCTGTTGTATATTCATCAGAATTTCCCCAAACCTTC